GGCCCCGCGGGGGCGAACAGAACCACCAGGCGGACCCCCAAGTGCCCGCAGCTCGCCCCAACGACGAAAGAAAAACACGGGGGCAACCACAACCAACCCCCCCCCCCCCCCCCCCCCCCGCACCGAGAAATTCTGTCCACACAAGTTATGGACAGAACTGAATATACTGTAAGTATTCTGGATCTGGACCTTGTTTATTGGTTGGGCTTCATGCTTATTTTTTGTAGTTCGTGCCTCTAAAGTAAAGGACATCAACTGGTGTGAAAATGTAAAAATTCGGTTGCTGCTGTTTGCCTTGGTCATAGGCACGTTGGCCAAACTTTGCACAAAGTCCCAGCCAGAGAATCAGCTGATTCTTAGAGCGCACATCTCATGGGAAGATGAATTTGGCTCCTGTTGAACTCAGATTGCTGCTCGCTCTTTATTCAAAGCACTGAATGACAAAAATGGCAAACAAAGCAAAAATTAAATCGCTGCCTCCCTGTCTTGTTTTATAGATTCATGAACGGAGTCAACCTGAGAGCAAGGACTTTTTGTAAGCCAATAAGTGACAAGGAGTTCTTTTTAATACGACAGTGTCGGGACGTTATGTTTTTATGCAATTAGAAGGATCTTAAAATAAATTCTGAACTTTACAGGCAGCCGGTTTGACATGGAGGAAGATTTTAGGGCGATGCAAGAGCCAAGCCTTTATGACACAAAAGTTCCTGATATTAGACGTATTTCAAAGATGAAAAAAAAAAGTCAATATTGACAATAATTTAGTGTAAGATCAGCCCAAAAGTGATGCCGAGTTTCCTTACAGTAGCAGATGCCATCTAAAGTGATGCTAGGGTTGGATAAAAAGTCTCTGGAGATTTTTGAGGCTAAGATCAATCACCTCAATTAAAAAAAAAAACAGATATACAAGAATTACATCATCAAAACTGGTAAAGAAACTGATCAGTGTGATCAGATGTATTGAGAAACAACTGAATGTCACTGTCATACAAGAATGGAACAAATTTTTGGTCAGCGTTACTTCACATGTACCATTTTCAGCCACTAGATGGCACTCGAGTAGTATGGCATGCTGTTATATCATGTAATAGGTGTTGACTTAGACCAGGGGTTAAACGACTACATATTTTTAAAAGTCGACTTTAACATGATAAAAGTTGAGTCGACTTCGACTAGTCTGTGATGTCATAAGAACTCAAGACATTATTATCATATTTGCAAATATATATATATATATATTAGGGGGAAAAAACTCATTTATTATTTACAAAAAAAAAGAACAACAAAACTTTGGGGATATATTTGTGCTCCTACCATTTATCATACAGCAAATAAATCAAAGGAAAAGCAAAACTATTATCAAGCTGCAAAAATGCTGCTGTTTTAGTTTTATTTTATTTAATCCACCATGTGGATTGGGTTGGATTGGATTGGGTGGAATAAGGTTGGGAACAGCAGGGGGAGGGGGTGCAACTAGTCAATGTGAAATATAAAAACTTGCGAGATGACACAAAATAGACTAGTCAACTAGTCGACTAGTCTATCCAGCCCCTAAGTTAGACTGCCACCTTCATGAAGCAACCGTCAAATCCGCTTCATTTCGCTGCGCCGCTCCGGCGAAATGCAATCAATTTGTCCATTGAAGTGCATTTATCAAGTAAAAGTTCAACTGAGACACACCTTTGCTATAATTTAGAGAAACAAATACTTGTTTTAAGTGTTAATCTTGTTAAATTCTTGTTAAAGTCCTCCCGTGCACGCCCCTGAGGCCTCCATTTGGCATCCAATTGATTTTTGGCACAATACCAGCCCACATTTCCGGGTTGTCAGCGGTGACGCGCAACAAATGCGACGCATCAGCGATGTTGATGCGTAATGGATGCGATGTTATTTGTGTTTTTTCCACTTTATTAGACATATTTGGACTGATGCGACTTATAGGGCGGTGCGACGTGTACGGTGGAAAATACGGTACGTTCACTCTTTTCTTTTTCCAGATTTCCAGAAATATTTTGTTCGTTTGTTAACAGTGAGTTTGCAGGTTTAATTTAAACAGCAGCAAACGGGGAAAAAACACCGCTTTAGGTTTGTTTCGAAGGTTACGGAAAGCACTTCTGAATTTTGGATTTACTTGAAATTAAGTTGACATTATAAGAAAGAAAATTATATGTTTGGTGCACGCACCTTCCCGTGACACGTCTGCTGTGATAGTTCTGAGGTGCACCACAGGTGAGCAGCCATCTTGCAGGTTTTACACCGCAGAGCTTGTTTGGAGTTTCCTGCAGGAAGGGACAGAGGCGACATAATGAGAGCAGCGAACTCAGGCGCATAGTTACAGATAATAACGACGAAAGGAAAAACAAAATGGCCTACAGATCCCACAAACAGGTTTTCTGTCTTATCAGGTAATCAAGCTCTGTCCTGTTTTTTTGTGTGTTTTTTTCAGACCTAATCAACAGCTCCTCGTCTGGAAATGCTTTTATTTTTTTTTAAGTTGTTACATTGAAACCAGCTGGACATTCAGTATTTCCATCAAGACTGATTTGGCAGCGATCCATCAATTTTTTTGTGTTTTTAAATTAAAGTCCTCCTTAGCATCCAGATGTTTTCTCCTCATTTGTTTTGTGACGAGATAACTTGCCATTTACCGTGTTGTTAATGACGACGACTCGGAGACCCTCGTTATCCTCCAAACCACGCTGATTTCTGAATTTGTTCCAGATTGAGGAGAAACATCAACAAGCCACTTACGTATCAGGGCAGAAGAATCAGACGGCTTAAAGAAAAGGCAGCATTTCTTTTAAAGACGAAAATTGATTCGACTTAATCAGCGTAACGGGGAGAATGAGGCTAGACTTTATTTGAGGACTGCTGATGAGTCCAACAAGAGCGAGGTGATGCATTACATAAATAAACCCCACAGTGCATGCAAACTAAGAGCGCAGACGCAAACACAAGGGAGCAGGTCGGCGGCTGTAATCAGTCACGCTGACAGGAAGCAGATTTAGCAGAAATACTAGCAGCTATTAGCTCGCAGACGCAGCAGACTGTGGGTAAAAACTGTCACAACTCTGCACTAAAGCTGCACCGATTAAATAAAGTCCAACTTTAAACGAATAGTTGGACACTTGGATCACACTTTTACTTTCTGATGGAGTGTCCAGTTCCCTTAAATGCTACAATCAGAAGTTTCAAAGATTCAATCATCAAATGGAAACCTACAAACGACAGCGGAACAGCTGGTAGTTGTTTACTCGTTAATGTGAGGGAAACCGAGTCCTCCTGACACTTTATACGTCCGGCAGCTTCTTTAAAATGAACTTGGTGCAGAACTTCAGCCCACCTCACTCTTAAAGCTGTTTATGTCCCATTGGTTCTTCTTTGAATGCCAGTTAACCCTCCTGCTGCCCTTGGGTCAAAACGACCCCATAAAAGTGAGGCCTCAGGGCTCGATTTGACCCAAGAACAGCAGGAGGGTTAAGTGAAGATAAAAATCTTATCCTGTGTTTTAAACATATATTTCTGCTTCTGGTGCTTGAATATATTATGTCAAATCTAAAGTCATAACATTTTAATGAATTTGTTTCAAATGTCTTCATTCCTCATGTTTAATACATTTTAACTTTTGATTTTTTTATATATTTTTTCTCTTGTTTAAATATTCTCGACTCAGACAGAATGACTTTTTTTTTTTTAATTAACATGAAAATCAGAAGGTGGCAAATCTGTGTGTGGCAGCATGAAAACCACAAAACTGACCAAAAATAAAATAAAAATTTATTTATTTATTTGTTTATTTGCTGACAATCCTCATTTTACATGTGGAAAACCAGTTTCTGGACGTCCCCAGCAGACTGGCTTCATCCACTTTTATAAAAGGTGCCATTTATTTTGTGGCCGGCCTCAGACTGATGAAGTCTTTCGGATGAAAGGCGAAACGTTTCAACCAAGAAGAATCCATCCAGATGACCTGACTTAACATTTTGTGACCAAACCTATAGCTGAAACAATTCTAGCTTTCAAAACTATAACCCAAAACATTTTGCCACTACTCATCTTTTTTGTATCAATTCAAATGACAGTTTGTGCTAATTGACAGCAAACGCTGCGTATAAACCCTTACGCTAAAATACATTTGATTACTGAGAGAACTTAGATTTCTTCTTCTGTTACTAACCTCTTAACATCAGGCTCGAGAGCTGTGGGGTCTGTTAACATTATTATTACTATTATTATCTGCTTGGACAAACTCTGGCACCTGACCAAATTTAGTCAGTAAGAAGGAGTTCTGGTGACCGCTTTTGCTTTAGAGTTTCTTTAAAACAGTGGTTAGTTTGCCCGACAAGGAGAAATGAAGCGTCGCTGTGATTCCTGGGCACCTTACCCACTATCATGTGCTTGCAGTGCTGGCAGTTGGTGGGCTTTCGAAAGACGTGGTCCTGGAAGCAGTGGTTGATCTGGGTTCGGGCTGGCTTGGCGGGCAGTGCTGGGGAAAGGCTGAGAGACGGGGAGTGGGAGGAGATGGACAGGTTGGGGCTGAGGGACGGCGAAATGGAGGGCGAGCGCTCGCCCACGAGAGGGGAGCCGGGTGGCAGAGGGGGAGACGGAGGCGGCGGGTCGGCGATGAAGTCTGGGGGCAGGCGAGCGTCGCTGTAGGAGCGCTGAAAGAAGTTCTCCACGCTCTTACTGCGCATCATTGTCTTGAAGGACAGGGAGCGCTTCAGTCTCTGGAGCTGCACACGTTGACGGAGACAGAGAGGACAAAAGGTACACAAAGAAGAGACACAAGATAAGCAAGAGGTAATAAATGTCCAATGCACCCCCCAGGACAGAACAAGCAATAACCTGGCATCCATAAACAAAACACTCTACTGGTCACCACGGGGAAGGGGTGACTCATGAAATGCAATATTGCCTCACAAGGAAGCAACGTGTGAAAAGTGAAGTTCACCTCCGTCAGACAGAACGTATTTATACCCGCTGCCTGCGACCGCCGCCAAAACGATAAGCCTTTCTGCTTTGTGACCACCACAACGAGCCCCGCTGTAGGTAAATAAGGTTTCTCTGGTGGTGGTCACAGGGGCTGCTGTGCCCCAATAAATCAATAAAACAAGAACTCAGAGTCTTATCGTGTTTTTACAGCGACGGATTCCTAATCCGATTGGCTCCTGCTCGTCTTCCCACCAAGTCTTTGTTTATCAATGCTGCTGCCTGTTCCTGATTTCCCCTTCTGGGTTTAGTCTTGTTTCTTAAAGTTGTGACTTTTATAAACTGTCCATCTGCGTTAGTTTTTCAATCCAACCATGCCGGTCTTAAAACCACTCTGCCAGTTCTGCTGCTGCATTTGTAAAGTTGCAAACACCCAGAAACATCCCACTTGTAAAGATGTGACCGCCTGGCATTAATTGCCTGGATAAATGTCCGTTGTCAGACATTTGCCTGCAGCTCCGTGTCCCCGTTATGATGCAAGGCAGCCATTTGTTGCTCTGACGTGCTGCCTCAGTGTGCGAGGACCTGGTGATGTTACAGAGGAGTAATATCTCAGCACAGACAGACAGGAGGACAAATAATCAGCGGACCACAGGCTCTGCATGGACGCGCTCCGTCAGCCTGCCTGTCCGCTCTCGTCCCAAACACAGTCACTTTACAGGGACATGTTGTTTACAGCTCAGCGTGTCTGGCGGCGAGATATGAAGACGGCTCGTCTGTTTAGGAGCGCGAGGCTCTGCGTGAGCTGCACACGGAGGCCGAGTCGGAGAAACAAAAGAGCGCGACTGCATTTGCACACTCCGTGTTCTTCCTGCATAACTCCATTTGTGAAATTTGACGTCATTAGATTACACTGATGAATGCACGGGATGCTGTGGACTGTTGGAGCGCAGTTTGAACAGACTCGTGTTTACTGCGCTGGGTTCTTCTTTGTGATAAAAGACATTGGGCATCAAATATTTCACTACTGAATAAAATGTTGGAGAGATGCCTTTTTTTTCCCGCCTCTCTGGTAAAAATATTCTGGTTTTACAACTATCCGTTCCTCGAACTCTCAAACTCTTATGTTTACCGAGCTCAACCACAAGCTGGACGCGATTCTGAGAATCGTAGGCCACTTGCGGCTCCTGGAACTCGCCAGCATGAAGGGTTCAATCTTGGAGAAAGCTAAATCAAGCACGGACCGGGCAGAATGTCCACTAATTCTGGCTGTTTGGATTCACCATTGAGTGGACCAGTCACTCGTCAGAACCATGATGCTGATAGACACTGTACCATCTTATCAGAACTTTGGAACTTTCTGGAGTTCTTATGGACAACGCACCAGCTTTGTCGGCCTCTATGCATAAATGCACAGCATTATGATGTCATTGTATGTTGCAACTTTATGTTGCGAGGTCTTTTTTTTTTTTTTTTTGCATCTTTTATACGGTTTCCCAGCCAGGAAATGGTGAGACATGATTTTTTTTGGCTTCCTCCATCCTCCTGTTCTCTTTTTCTCATCTGCCTGTATGTTGTATGCAACAGGTCTCTCTTGAAAATGAGTCTTTGAGACTCAGTGGGAACTAAACTGTATAAATAATAACTATAAGAATAACAATAAGAATAATCGTTCATCTTTCAGTTGACCTTAAAAACGCAAAAGGCTGCAGCTCAGTTAGTTTTGATTATCTGGTTTATCTGGTGGTAGCTGAGACTGATCCCCAACATAGACCATCCATCATTCATTTTCTTTACCCCTTTTTTACTTCAGTCGTATTTATACTCCAAAATGTGTTAAACTGTTTGTTTTTCAGATTTGTTTGCAGAGTTCTGCTCGAGCTCCGCTCACAGTCAGAGCAGTTGAGTGGTGGCATAACAGCTCTGGCTGCAGCACACGTCTCGTTTACTGTCGGCTGTTAAAAGCCTGCCCGTTAGCCTCCATGTGAGGCGTAGCTGAGAGCATCGTCCCACAGAGTCGAAGCCAGAGCGACCTCGCGCTCGGTGCACACTCGTCCGCCATGGCGCACGAATCTCTGTGCCAGGTCGATACAGAAACAGGAGTCGGAGTCAGAGCCTACTGTACCAACCATGCAAATAGTTTTCAAATGACCGCCAAATTCAGCACAACAATCAGAAGGAGAGAGATTTTCTGATGACGCCGATAGAAGTTTAATCTTGCGGGAGGCCCGGTCTGGTCTACTCTGACTCATAACCTGGTTCGGAACAGATCAGACCAGTCTCGGCTGCTCACGATGTGCGATCCCATGGTCTTCACCTGATAAAGGAGTCATTTTTGCTTTTGCTTGCTTCCAACGCTTGGATAGATTTGCACATCACCCTATAATCCACCATCAGAAACAGATAAGACCAATGAGGTCACACATAGTCACCCCACTGATAGGCTGTGCCCACCCAGATGTGAAGGCGGAGCCAAGTTCCAACATAAGCTGGAGCGTTCTTTTGCACGGGGCCTCCATTTCCGGTTCCGGGTTACGACGGGTCGGACAGATGCCTCAGCGCCGAGCTTGTAATTTTTGCTGGCTTACCTACATCCATCCATTATTTTTTACCCACTTTTTCCATTTTGGGTCACGGGGGTCGCCGGTACCCATGTCCAGGAATCACTGTGCGAGGGGCGGGGGACACCTGGACAGGTCGCAAGTCCATCACAGGGACACAGAGACAAACAATCATTCACTTCCTCACTCACACATAGGGACAATTTAGAGTTACCAATCAGCCCAACATGAAGGTTTTTGGTCTGTGGGAGGAAACTGGAGTACCCGGAGAAAACCCATGCATGCACGGAGCGAACATGCAAACTCCACCCAGAAAGGCCCCCGGATCGGGATTTGAACCGGGGACCTGCTCGCTGAGAGGCAGCGGCTCTGCCAGTTGCGCCACCGTGCTGCCCACCTCACCTACATTAAAAAAGGTAAAAAGAATTTACCTGTCTTGATTTTATTGAGTTTGTGTGAGTTTCCTCTCCACCTGGGAACAAAAGAACCGGAAGGTGCCGTGGTTGGACGGCTGACAACGCCACGATACGCCGAGGGACGAATTTGAACACGAATCCAAAATTGGTGCTTTTGATGGAGTCTTTCTGCAGCCGGTACGTTTTTGAAGGCAGCGTCGAGTGACTTCATGGTACTTTCAGAATAAAGCAAGAACTTTTTTATTAAACCTATTGAATTTCTGACCCACAGAAAAACTGTGGCTCCTACTTTTAGCTTCTTCTTCTTTCGGCTTTTCCCTCCTCAGCGGTCGCCACAGCGAGTCATCTCACTCTGTCCTCACTCCACCTCCATGTCCTCTCTAACTGCCTCCATATGTCTCCTCTTTGTCTTTTTCCTGCAGCTGCATTTCTATCATCCTTCTACCACTGTCCCTCCTCTGGACATGTCCAAACCACTGTCCCTCCTCTGGACATCAACCCATCTCAGTGTGTCCCCTCTAACTTTATCTCCCAGTTGTTCAACCTGTGCTGTACCTCTGATGATCTCATTCCTGATCTTCTCCATCCTTGTCACTCTTAAGGAGAACCTCAACATCTTCATTTCTGCTACTTCCAGTTCTGTCTCCTGTCTTTTTGTCCATGTCTCTGTCTCCAGACCATACAATAGAACTGGTCTCACCACTGTCTTGTAAACTTTTCCGTTGATTTTTGCCGACACCCTTTTGTTGCAAATCACTCCTGAAACTTTTTTCCATCCTGCCTGGACTCTCTTCTTCACCTCTTTACCACACTCCCCATTTCCTGTACATTGGACTCCAAGTACTTGAAGTCCTAACTATAGCATTTATCAAAAATAAAAGTCTTGATTGTAGTCCTAAAAGTAGAAAAAGTGTGTCAGCCTCATGGATAGAAAAGAACTGCATACCCTCATGACTTTTGGCATGAACATAGGAGTGAAGAGATATGAGGCAATGGAGGGGGAAGAGATGATGAATTTTGGCCTATAGATAGGATTGGGTTTCTTGAGCTATCCCCTAGTTGTGCTGCTGTAAGCTTAGACTGCTGGGGGACAAACTCCCCACATTCCCTCTCTGTACTGGATACATATGGTCTAATTATTCTGGTTGTGTCTGCGTCCTCTAGAAACGGCGGTCAGTCGAGGCAAACGGCCGTCCACCCTGAGCCTGCTTCTGGGTCTACTGTCCCCAATGTGCTCAGGACGGAGGATTGCACCAAAGGGAAGAACAGGAATACCTGTAATTGGATTTTAATCTGTATCTGAACTGAATTTATGATTTTTAATCCCCGAGATGACTTTTGTTGCAGATTGACGCAAAATAAAAAAAAGAAATTAATTGAATCCTTAAATTATTCCCCTCTGTTGTCGGTGTCGGACACAATCAAGGGCTTCAGAGCACGGAGGGAAAACGGATCACATAAATTATAAAGTTTTAAAACAAAGTGCATGTTTGGTCTGTAACGTGCACTTTAACCAGACGCAGTCGAGCGATCGCTACGTGCTTGACGTCACCGCGTTCGACCTTGTTCTAAACGAGGATGTTTCAGCCTTAAGACGGCTAACTGTGGTGTAAATGTGCTCGCGCAGTTCTAGGTCATCAGTGGATTTCAGAGGAAATGATCACCCTCAAGTGTGCGGAGTATTTAAAGGCACACCTATTTACACCCCCCACTGTGATGCTTCGGCCACTTTTATTGAAAAAGGCACTCACGGGAAGGAAAATAGATTCCACAAAATGTTCACTCTTTTGTGCAAAACGTGCAAAAAGCCCGACGGGACGAGAAGAG